AAATAGTGTTAATATTTAAACACATTAAATTTACAACAAAAAACCAAATAATGTTTAAATTGCCCAAAGTTGTTATTTTCGAGATACTCGTAGGTTAAAATTCATTTATCGCATAATTTGAGCAGTTATCACCCTTTTGAGATATTGTTCGTGAGTGTTTAATAGACTGATGCAAAATTTGAAATTTTCGCTCCACAGTGCTCAAACGGTTCCAAATTGGGCCCTGATAAGCCTCATACAATTTGAACTCATTTAGTGAAAAACTGACGTGGCACAAACCATTTGAAGTTTATATGGGAATTACTATGGAGAAACCATAATTTCGGTTCATATCGAGTTCAAAATTCACCAGTTCACTCTACTTTAGAAAATGATAGCTAAGCTTGTTGAAAATTTTCTCAGCTACAACTTTGTTCAAGACCACTTTTCAATCAAATGTAAGGAACAAAAGTTATTAATGATTCAAGTCACTGATGTCTTATGATAGTGCTCAATCAACTGTTCAGCAGGCAACATTGGTGTTTATGGCGCGTGGAATAAAGGACAAAAATCAGGGCTACTATGTCACACTGCAGAATACAGTGTTGCTCACAATACAGTTGCTTAATCTTGCCATAAGATTATCAATCTCAATCAACAATTAATAACTATTTAATTTGACGTTTGGCTGAAAAACGATTTTCTGCAAAGTTGTAGCTGATAAAAATTCCCATAAGAAAAGAAATAGAATTTGTTAACAGTACAAAATGTAAATAGGCAAGAAGACAATTAACAAGAAGTTTTGTTTTTCCTTAGTAATTTCAATATAAACTTCAAATGGTTTGTGCCAAGTAAGTTTCTTATCAAATGAGTTTAAATTTTCGGAGGCTAATCAGGACCCGATTTGAAACCGTTTGAACACTGTGGAGCGCATCAGTCTAGTGTTTAATCTTGAACATATTTTAAACAAAAAGCCCAATCAATTTCCTTGAACTTTTCAGTTCAAAGTTTTGCAATCAGACGCATAAGTTAAGATATAATTAATTATGAGTAAGAGACGGTATGGGAAAAGTGTATTTTTCTTTTTAGCCCTATATACGCCTAGCTAATTTAGCTAAATAATCATATCTTAACTCATGCGTATGATTGAAAAACTGTTAACAGCAAAGTTTAAGGAAATTAATTGGGCTTTTTGTTAAAAATATTTTCAAGATTGAACACTAACGAATAACATCATAAAGAGCAAAAATTGCTCAAATTATGCGATAAGTGAATTTTAACCTACGAGTATCTCGAAAATAACATTTTTGGGGAATTTTAGCATTATGAGCTTTTTGTTGTAAATTTAATGTGTTTTAATATTAACACTATTTCAAAAATATTCGATAACTATCGTTAGGATTAAAAAAAAAATATATTTTTTCCATAATTCATAACTTGTTTATTTGTGATTTGCCCAGCAAATACACAGTAAAATGTCAGTAGGTTAAACTCTATCTAAACTTCAAAATAAATATAAAAATAAAAATAAAAATGCAATTTGTGTAATTTTTAATTTTTTTTTGATAATTTTGATTTTTTTGTAAAAAAAAAATAATTTTTACAGTGTATAGTTCTTTTTAGAAGGCACAATACTTGTCCGCAACTTCGCCCAAGACACCATCTCGATCAAACAAATCGTTCACGAGATATATATTTTTCTATTGATGCGCATCATTTTTGCATAAGCCCTTTTCAAGTGTTAGTCGTGTGCAAAACTAGGGAACCATAAATGTAAAATGGCATGTTGGGCAATAACAAACAACTGTGCAAAGTTTCATCATAATCGTAGAAGGTCGATCCGAAACGATTTGCGAATCTGTGTGGAACTGCTCCAAATTAGTTATTATTTTGATAGGGGAATTTACGTATTCTCGGCAACCTAAGCAGCGACCTTCTTTCTATAGCCTTTTTCTCTAACGAACGCACACATATGCAGTATTGGTTTGTTTACAATCTTTTGCTGCCAGCTGCTCTAACAATTTCAGTCGAAAGAATTGTCAAAAACTATTTTGAAACGCTTTTACAAAGCTCCAATCTTCTCTAGTGAGAGCGAGGATTGTCGGCAACCAGTTTTTCTTCGGCAACCGTTCCATTTAAACTGCATGTAAATCTGCTGTTCTATTATCGGCAACTCGAAATCAGCTACAATTTGTAGTGCGTGTGTTTTATTTCAAGAAAACCTTGCTAGATTGCTTTTGCTCGGTGGTAAAAATATAGTCAAATTGAAGCTGAAAGCATAAATAATCGTTTGCATGCATTCAGCGAAGTGTTTTCGTAAGAAAATCCAGTGAAAATAGTGTTTCAATTTGGGTTGCCGAAAACAGTCTGGCATGCCGAAGCCGTCATTTCCCCTATCATGATATTAAATTTAGTAATCTTAAATCTTGTGGTTAATATCTAGATTCAAAATCAAAAAATGTTTTCAATAAAGTGCGAATGGTGCCATATTAAAGTACAGAACTGGAAATAATCATCCATTGGTATAAATGATAAGAAAGTATATAATGAATTGCATTTCTGGATCAACAATAGAAAAGGGCCCATCGGCATTTGTAAACAAACCATTCCAAAGCCCATTCCTCACAAATCGAAGGCTGCTCACACAAACCAACACCATCATCGGGTAGGTAGAAGTTTCCCCTATCCGATGATGGTGTTGGTTTACGTGGTCAGCCTTCGCTTTGTGAGTAAAGGGGTTTGGAATGGTTTGCTTACAAATGTGGATGGGCCCTTTTCTATTGTTGATCCAGATTTGTCCTTATAGACAAATAACAAAGTTAAAATATGACGCACGATTGAAATTTATTAGATCGAATAGCATAGAAATAGGCGATGTGAAGTTTTTAAATTTAGAGTTTCGTTTTCATGACAAATTCTGGTGGAATTATATTCAATATATTAATAGGACACACGAATCATGTAAAAAATTAGTCTACGATGACTCTTATATCATTATGAATGATAGATTCCTTTGCTTCGAACATATTTTAACAGACATTATTTATTACGATATTTATTTTGTTGCGGAAGAACTGATTGTTAAAGTACTACAGACGAACAGGACGAAATCAATTTTATATCGGTTTGTAAATTTAATTCGCAGGTAGATTAATATCAATAAATGTTGTAAAACAACACTGTAAAAATCATAATTTTCTTTGTAATGTTCATAAAGAAACCTGATTGACACGTAAGAAGAAAAAATAAAAATAAATGTAGATTTCAGTGTTAAATGTGGATGCTTTTTGTTTATAAAATATCAAATTTTGTTCCTAATTATATTTTTTAGAAATATCAAAATAATATCAAAATATGAATTCAATCGAAAATTAAAATTTGCTTATCAAAACATGTTGTCAACCATCTACAATGAATAGAAACGGACTAAATATTATTTCCTGCTAAATTTTCATTTCGAACCCAGTGCAATTGTTACAAATGAAAGGTCATTACATTTCAAACTACTGATTTAGGTAAGTACCAACCGAAATAGCTGTGTAAAGTTTTTTCCTTGCAAAATTTTCGTTTCGGACCATAGTGCACTGTTTACTTAAATTTAATGACTCATCTAATCCCTGATATCGCTTTTCTAATGACGTGAATTTTTAATATACATATTCCTAGTGATGCCTATCATCATAATGAGAAACATAACCCACACATAAAAATCTCGTTTATGGCAACGTAAAGTTGACGACTTGTTGCCAAAAATGGATAGACACTGTATTGCGAAAATTTTAAATATTCTGTACAACTTGCAAGCAAGTTTATCGCAAAAATTTCATGTACGAAATTCACATTGCAATTAAAATTCATATTTCAAATTTACACACCAATAAAAAGGAATGGTTTCTGAAAATAGGTCTTAAAACGGATAAATCATCGCAGGCACAGGTGGTCCACCATTAGAAATGTTTTGATTCCTATTTGGAATACATGAATATTTTGCCGGAAATTAATTGCAAATTTCCATCAATTTTCGCCATCGACATGTTAGCGGTTATATTGCTATCCATAAATCTCCGTTTGTATTGATCAGCAATCATAACAGCCTTCGATATGTAGATTTGGTTTAAATTTCCATTAGCTCAGCTTCAGTCAACAAGATTGATACAAACGGATCTCTTTTCAGCAGATAAGCCTTCCATTTCGCAAATTCTAATCTCATTAGTATTCTAATCCCAGCATCTTCGCAGTCGAAATTCCCGCACACGCATCGCACCATTAACCATTCAACAGGTTGTTTTTTTTTGGTTTTATAGTTCAACTTTCGGTTCGGGCATCCCAATGTGTATGTAGCAGGTCACGAACAGCTGGGAATGTCTCATCTCTCACGGATCATTTTTTTTTATGTTTTGGAAATGTGGAAATTAATATTCATCTTCCAACGACAGTCCACCGCCATCGGTCGGTCGTCTTCACCTCACTCCACACACGCTCGCATGCCCAACTAGCTAGTTTTTATTTTTCGTTCAAGTTGTGTCCCCTTCAGGTAGCCACCAAACGATATCCTTTGCACCAACCACCGGGGCTCATTGGGTCTGTTTTGTTTCTGATGCAGTGTGCTTTTCCGGTTCTCGACTTCGATCTCTTCGACAGCGCTAACTTGTAACACGAAGCCGTTCACATGAACACAACTCACGAAACTTGTTGCGGTTTTCAAGTTAAAGTAATTTATTACGTCCACTTCTTAAATCGTTGGTTTACTCCCAACCGGATCGGTGCACTGAAGTTGCTTCTGACAGGAGAGGTTGCGGTGCAATTTTGCCAGGTACATATGTCGCTAAATCATTACACCCACCAACGCCTCCCTAACGTCTCGATAATACACTCGTATCAATTGCAATTAATATTCACAATTCGCTTAATAACCACTGATGCAATCTTTCATCCTTGATTAGCATACTAATCACCGGGCTGTTAAAAGTCACTTTTCAGCAGCGTCTTCTTCGACCCCCTTGAGGAGACGCATAATTTACCGAGACTTATTATCATAAGCAGCTACCAACTAACGCCTAACCGGAATATCCTTACGATTCCCTCGATAAGAAACGTGCACACTTCGAATGCACATCGACGACGACGTACGGATGGATACTCAGCGAACAACACACGCGCGCGCGTCCGTCCACTTGGCCCGTCGAATGTTGACTGGTTGGGACTCCGATCGGTCAAAGCGGGTATAAACAAAACAGCACGCGCTACGCTGCCGCAGGATTCGCGAACTCGCGAAAAATGAATCCGGTAGTCGTAGGATGAAGCCGAAATGAACGACGACGACGACGACGACGCGCGCGCCGCGACGTTATCGCTGATCGTCCGGCAGTCCGCAAGTGCTGCTGTCGTCATTATCGAGATCGTTACGTGGTCTTTTGTGGGGGAGAATGAGGTCCGCGCTCAAAACCGCTGCGCATTGGTTAGCTCGCTCGCGGTGGTGGAAGGTTCGGGCTCTCTTGGGGTTGTTTCGAGCGCGTGGGTTTGTTTTGGTTTGTACTGCTGCAGCAAACGGGTGGTTAGGGTGGTTCTGTGGTTTCACTCTCCATGAGTGAGAAACGATGGGCGAGAGCAAAACACACGTGGAATCGTAGCTTGGTAGCCGGTTGCACGTTGCTTGATATGGTATATCAAGGGAACATGTGAGAGTTCGTTGGAGAGTGCGAGCGTTGTGGGAAGTAGAAAGAGATGATAGTTTTTATTTACAGTGCAGGTTGTCGTTTTTGGAACACCGGTGCAGAGTTATGCGCGATTGAGGTTTAGGAAATGTCATTCAAAATTAAAATAGATTATTAAGAACATAAAATGGATACATTAGAAATCAGAATTCAAATGTTATTAATCATAAATTATGATTGACTTAGTTGAAGGCAGTAATATATGAGACATAGGGTAGAGCGCCACTTCGTCGTAATCGCCCGTTTCCGTTATATCGATCAGCAAAGATCAATAATATCAATGATTTCACCGTACACAAATCAATAATATGTTTGATCCGATGCGTTAGTTCATTAGCTACAGAATAAATCCTATAAGAGCGCATTGTATGAATATTTACGCTCATTGTTCTCAAAACACGTTTTTTTCTACGTTTATCCGTTCTCAAACACGGCTTTTTCTACGTTTATCCGTATGACGAAAAAAATCTAAAGGCGTTTCAATGCGTAAGGACGGAATTGAAACTTGTAGAACGAATTTAGAATCAAAAAGCAGTATTAGATTTTAAACAATATCTTAACAATTTGTGACTCTTTATCAAATCCAAAATGAAAACCTGAATAAATTTAGAAGTCATGCTTGACAGAAATATTCCTTTTTTGTTCAAACCCGTTCAAAACAGAGAGGTAAAACGCGGGTTGGCTTGGTAGGACGGAAATTAGATCAAAAACCCTAACCGGTGAGCAGCGATTGTAAATCAGAGGTCAGATTTCGTAATAGATTATAAATCGTAAACAATTTATGTGTCATGATCAGAAGTCAAAAATTAAAAATGAATTTATTTTCTTTAACTAACATGTTTTTATTACTTCATGCGTGAAGTTAACGATTTACATAGTTGGAGATTCTTAACGTCAAATATCAGACTTAAAAGGGAAATTTTATACGATTGATGAGGAGGTGAAAGTATAGAGTTGATAGTTCCGTTATAGTACGGCAGTGTGAAAATTGTATATAGAAAGTAGAAAGCGAGCGAAGGACAATTTTGAGGAAGGTACGCATCGGTTTGATCATCCCATCATAGTCATTGCATTGCATATTGATTTAAAGGGTTCTAATGACGCTAAGCTCAATCGAGAATAATATGCGATTGAATTCAGATTTTCAAAAATCTAGATTAAATTTTAATTTAAGCAGGTAAGCACCATTAGAGGATAAAACATATCTCGATTTCTTTTTCGAAAGGACGTATCAGCTTTAGTAAACAATGCATTTGATCGTGTATTTGGCCTAACTGGTAGCTCGCCCATGCATACTTATAGCACTATCAGCTAGGGAACCAGTTACACCAAATCGACGATCAAATACATTGTTTACAAAAGCTGATACGTCCCTTCGAAAAAGTAATCAACATATAAAGCACGCAGCCATTCGCTCTCATAAGAACCACTTATGAATTTTAGCCACAAGAAATCGGTATGAATTTCATTGATTTGCCTTATGAAAAACAATGTTGAAAAAAAAATAATAATACTCAGCAAACTGGAACCGAACCATGGACGTTGAGATTACGGGACCCGTGTGTTGACCACTCGTCTTTCAACGCTTGGGAAAATGATATGCTCGACAAAATCATTCATAAGTCACGCTTATGAAATTCATATGTGTCGTTCATAAGTCGAGTTGTATGAAATTCTTAAATTTATTCACCTGTAGTGTACACTGAGGCAAATTGATCTAAGAATTTCATAAGGCTCGACTTATGTACAACATGTATGAATTGCATAAGCGTGACTTATGAATGATTTTCGGGTAACATGAGGTAACCACAACGTCCATTTTCCGATTCCATTCTGCTCCGAATATTTGTATTGACAACATTATTCTTCAAAAGGCAAATCAATGATCACACCTATTTCTTATAGCTAAAATTCATAAGTATTTCTTATGAAATTCTTACGTTCTTTTGCCTGCGTGCAGAGTGTAGTAAAGAATGTCAAGCTGTGAGTGTATTCAGTTATGCAGGCGGAAGAAGAGTACTAGACCAACCATTGAAATAAACCGACTAACTAATAATAAACAATAGCTTTAAACCCTAATTTCTCGAGAATCAAAACACACCTACGCAAACTAACAATGCCATTTGATAAAGGAAGTTTATTCTTTAATATACTGGTGTTAGATTGCGTGGATGTATTTTAATTCTCGAGCAAATTGCGTTTAAAGACATTTCTTATGTTTGGTAGTTCTACCTATACCAATTGGTGGTCTAGATATTCTGCTCATTGCTCCTAAGAATCTGCCGTCGACGGTGGAACCCGTCTTCGAAAACCTACTTCTATCTTGTTGAACGAAGGCAGTGCAATTTGAAGTCAATGCATTCCAGGACGATGATGCTATCCAAGAAACATAAAACTCTGGAGTGACTGGTGATGGTTCGGCAGGTGTGATTAACTTTGATCATGCCGATGTGTTTTAGGTTGCGGAGTGAAGTACAATAAATTTCTGAGGCAGCTGGATCTTGTGACGTCGTGTAAGAAAATTATTTGGAAGATACTGTACTACGGATTGACCATAATCCGATGAATTGGGAATGTGATATCGGAGTATTAAGGGTGAGTATTTAGAGCTGGTCGGCAAATCACTGGGTCTTGTTGAAGAGTACTCAGGAGAGACGCTACCTGACAAAGTAGGACTGTTCCATTATTAAGAGGGAGATGCTCTATGAATGATGGAGCATTTTTGCCATGATCTTCAAGCCCTCCCGGACCATCAGAGTCCTGGCATTTCCCGTCATCTATAAAGCATCTACGTTTTATTAATCGAACAGGCTTGCATTATCAGGTGACGCCTCTCTTGCGGACTCTTCAACGGGCCCCAGCGATTTGCCAACCAGTCCAAACCATTCACCCTTAAGTCATTAACATGTCCTCAGCCTTAAGTCAATCACTAACAATCCAATGAGAACTTCAGAGAACTTCTTTGAACTTCCGACAAGAAGTTTAGAGAACTTCCGAAGAGAAGTTCAGAAATCTTCCGACGATCAGTTCAGATAACTTCTTATGAGAAGTTCTGAGATCTTCCAACAAGAAGTTCTGGAAATTTTGACGAGAAGCTCAGAGAACTTCCGACAACAGGTTCAAAGAACTTTTTTAATTTCCTACGAAAAGTTTAGATAACTTACAACGACAGGTTCAGAATACTTCCGAAAAGAAGTTCACAGAACATTTGAAGAAAATTTCACAAAACTTCGCTGTAGTCCAAAGTACTTTTGACGAAAATTTCACAGAAATTCATTAGAGTAATGCTGTCGAGAAGTTTAAAAATCATCCGATGACAAGTTTATTGAACTTTCTACGAAAAGTTCACAGAACTTCAGATGCGAAGCTCAGAGAACTTTTGACAAAAATTCGACAAAACTAAGTTCAAAATTTCCAGAAAATTTCCGAGGAGAAATCCAGAGAACTTCCGATGAGAAATTCTGAGATTTTGTCATGAGAAGTTCTGCGATTCTCTCATTAGAAGTTCTGGTGAATTTCTTCTTTTTTTCTTATTCTTTCTCAACTTAGTGTTCTAGATGCACTTCCACAGTTATTAATTGAGAGCTTTCGATGCCTGTGCCGTTTTTGCATTAATATAATTGATCAATGAAAATGCTGAGGTTTTGACAGAACCATGCTGTGGCTACCACAAAATTTTACATTTGATCGTCCATATACAGTAACGCTAAAAGCATGCTGTGGTGGATTCAAAACTTGACCATCTAAAATGATCAATTGTGTGGCAAGTACAATCACACTCTATGCCCAGGGAAGTCGACAAATTTTCCAAACCGAAAAATTCTTAGACCGGATCAGGAATCGAACTCAGCCACCTTCACATGGTTTTGTTTTATAGCTGCGCCTTAACCGACTGAGCTTAAGGAGGCCCCTGAGAACTTCTGACGAGGAATTCAAAGAGTTTCCGACAAGAAGCTCGTAGTACTTCTGACAAGATGTTCATTAGACTGATGCAAAATTTGAAATTTTCGCTCCACAGTGCTCAAACGGTTTCAAATCATGTCCTGATTAGCCTCCCAAAATTTAAACTCATTCGGAAAGAAACTGACTTGGCACAAACTATTCGAAGTTTATATGGAAATTACTATGGGAAAACCAAACTTTTTGTTCATTGTCTTCTACCAATTTTCCATATTGCTTTTTCGAAAATTTCAATAACTATTTTTACGGGAAATTTTCTAAGCTACAACTTTGCGCAACATCGTTTTTCAGTAAAATTTCAAATTAAAATGTTATTAATTGTTTAAGAGATTGATAATCTTATGGCATGATCAAGCAGCTGTTCTGTTAGCAACACTGTATTCTGCAGTGTGACATAGTAGCCATGATATTTGTGCTCTATTCTTCACACCAGAAACACCAATGTTGCCTGCTGAACAGTTGAATGAGCATAATTATAAGACATCAGTGACTTGAATCATTAATAACTTTTGTTCCTTACTTTTGATTGAAAAGTGTTTTTCACCAAAGTTGTAGCTGAGAAAATTTCCTACAATTACTGCTATGATTTTTAAAA